CTCTTAATCTGTGAGTTTTGTAATCACTCCATGTACCTCAGTTTTTTTCTTTTTTAAAAAAAAAGGGATAACCAGCATTCCAGACACAAGCACAATGCAAACTTGTACAATGGTTTAGCGATAATTTCAATTTTCTTTCCTGACAATGTGTTTACTATCACTGAGCTGAATTTCTTATAAAACTAGCCAAACAGACAGCCAAGTCCCTATTTTAAGCAATAAGAGACCGCTATTATGTAGTATAGTTTTGTGTATGTATAGTATTTATTGATATGCATGACAACATTGCTTTTCCAGCTAGCATTTTACCACCCAATGTTTTAGAATTACATAATTAGGTTTTGACTTTGGTTATCTTAAAAAAATTGTGTATCACTAGCAAATATATATATTTGTTTTTAAATGACTTTCTGAACAGCACAAATGCCACTACAGATTTATTTGGAACCTAATCAGTACCTCCCACTACAATGAAAGTTAATCAATTTGATTATTGGTTTCTTAACTTTTATTGGCAACTAATCTATTGATGATTCTTCCCTCAACAATTTACTATCTTTTGAAGGCAAAGTACCTTGATGAAAGCTTTATTGTCCTTGACTGCATTTTCAAACACGTAATGGATTTGTGGTGCGTGACATTACCCAATACATTCATCTTAAATGTTTATTATTGTTATTTTTTTTTACCCAGCATAAATTTCAGACTTGCCTACAGTTCCCAGCATCCCTCCTAGAAGTCTTTTTAAAATTGATACATTTGTCCCATTTCCATCACCTGACTACCCTTAACAGAATATCCAATATTTTTAACCGATTAACAGTTTAATATTTGAGTTCCTTGAAAACTTGTGACTACTGCTGAGAATGGGTCATTTATTGTTGTTCATTTTATTAATCCATTCAAAAAGTCACTTGTATGACATTTCATTTTAGGGTATTTCTTCAGTTTAATCACCAATGACTCCTGAATCCAGCATGGAAAACTCTCTAGCCTCTTCTGCAATAAACATAGATACAAAAGACTTCATACTTCTCTGCTACTGCCTTATCTTCTTTGAAATCTCCTTTCATTGCTCAGTTATCTGTCAGCTCTATCAGCACACCATCAGCTTTCTATCTGCTTGTGACATCTTTTAGAAATATGCATTAGTGATACTTTTTTTTTTTTTTTATCTTAATATTGTGTTATAACTTGCCTACCATGGCTTGCTATACTTTCTTCTGGGAGAAAAAAAAAAGTTTCATTATTATTTTTATAGATTTAGTAAGTTGTCCCTCCAAGTTTGGTGGGGGATTGTTTTCGCCTGCCTTTGTTAATGCCAGAACTTAGGCTCTTGACTGGTGTCTTGGTTTGGGCTGAAATAGAGTTAATATTCCTTTTCAGGGACTAGATGAGTGCTGTGTTTTGGATTTAGCTTTGGGTTTGGTATAAGAAGAATGCTGACAGCACACTGATGTTTTCAGCTGCTACCGAGACTTCAAGGACTCTCCAACTCCCCATGTCCTGCCCGTGCACAAGGGCACAGGGAGCAGGGAGGGAGCACGGCCACAGCACCTGACCCTGACTGGCCAGTGAAATATTCCATATCATGGAACGTCATGCTCACTGTATAGAGGAGGGGTGGTTGGGAAGGAGCTCTCTCGCTTCCAGGATTGCAATTGCGGGGTCGCTGGCCGGGAACGGGCTGGGGATTGGTCAGCGGGTGGTGAGCAGTTATGTTGTGCATTGCCTGTTTATATATTTCTTTTTGTTTTCCCCCATCATCGTTATTGTTCTCGTTTTATTGCCATTATTAAACTGTTCCTATCTCAGCCTGCGAGTCTCCCTTCACCCCTCTAATCCCCTCCCCCAGTCCCAGGTGGGAGGGGGAAGGGAGGGTGATTAGCTGCGGGGGTGGGTTGCCCATCAGGCCCAAACCACAACTGGTTTTATCATTTGGACAGAATCTTCATTTGAAAGATGTCTGTTATTTCTAACACTTTATTTTGTTAACTACATGAACTTCTTTCAGTCCTCTTAAAAATCTTTTCTGATTGGTGTATTAATCTGAGTATGGCTATATTACCTGTATATAGCCTCCAGACTTCTTACCACTTTAACATCTCTTAACTATTTTCCTCACTTCTATGCAGATTATCTTTTTCAATGTCATGTTGCTGTAATGGAATATTAAAATTTTCGCTTTGTGCTTGTATTCTAATATTTTAATTTGAAAAAAAAAAAAAAAAAGTACAAATACATGCAACAAATTCCAAGTGTTAGCAGTAGAGCAGGAAGCTTGCCAAAGACTGGACCTAAATAGCAAAACAGATGTATTTTTAGTATGCTAACAGTACGACTAAAGCAGATTTCCATGTGTTTTCTGAACGTATATTTTGAAAGTAGATCCTTCACTCACTTATCTGGAATCTAATTTGTGTAATCACAAAGAATCAGGTATGAGGTAAAGTAAGGACTGCTGAGCTTCTCACAAAGTAAATGGCTGGCTATTTCTTTCTCCCCTGAAAAATCTTAGAATTGTTAATAATAGATTAACATTGATTTCTGAGGCTATTGGCTTTTGAGCCAACTTGTTCCTCTTCTAAAGGTAAATAATCATTTTTACTACATTATTTTGAGTAGTGGTAATGGAATTATGAAATATATATATATCGTAATATATAAATTCATACTTCTCAAGCTTCAACTGGCTATCTGAAAATACATTATGATAAAAGTATTTTCTACCATAGTATATGAGAATTTTCCAAGAAACTTCCATTAAAATCACAACGGATTAGCAGTCTAATTTTTCACTGGTATTCTAAAAACAACTGGAGTTCTGGTTTGTTCATTTGCTAAAACATACTGCAGTTTGAGAAATCAGTCTTGAGACACCGTGCTGTGTTTCCATAGCAATGACTTCAAGTTACAAAACCAACTCTGAAGGTGAGGTCCTGCTCTCAGATGCACAGCATTCATTTCAACATATTAAAAAAAAGAGTAACAGCAACAAACCACCTGTTATTGTGTTAGCTCTGTGGCCAACAACACACCTCTTTAAAGTTTTTTTTTTTTAAATATCTAACTAAATGAAAATGTGGTTTTTTTATATATTCTAGGGAGAGATGAGATGCAATTTAAGCACAAAACTTATTTTCTAAAAGTGGTAAATCAGTTCTGAATGAAATACCAGATATTAACTTTATCTAATAAAAGTTTTCGCCAACATGGATATTTAGTCAAACTACACTTTTGCTACATTATAACATATGTTAAAAGCAGTTCCATTTAATCATCATCAAAATTCTCTAGTTATGAAAAGTTCAGTAAATTTATACCCATGCTTTTAGTTACAAGATGGTAGGAATTTAACTTGAATACTCTGATTACTTCTGACTATCCACACTGTTAGAATTGGGAAGAGAACCATTCTGGATCACTCCATGAACAGTGACAGGCACAGATGTGGAAACTGCATAAAACTGCACTAGATTTCCTCTATTGCACAAGGGCAGTTATATTTTACATGTAGAAATGGAAAAAAAAAAAAAAACAAACCAAAACAAAACCAAAACAACTGTATGTGCATTTATTTGCATACATATATTCTGAGATCAGAAATCTTTTTTAAAAAGTGCCCATTTTTGAATGTGCTAAACCAGCTTTGAATAGTAGCATTAATAGAATACAGAAAAATATTCTCATCACTTTCAATAAGATCATCACCCTGTAAGTCTCTTCTTTCTTGACTCCAGCTTAACAGACTACCTTTCTATTTGTAAAATACTGAAACAATTACGATAGGCGCAAGATATTTTTACTCCAAATCTACCATTAAAGTGGGTTAGGGAATTTTCCAAATTTGTATTGTATTAAACTTCTGGACTTCCACTATTTTCACAGGATTCTTTTAAATGTGACTGAGCTGAATTTTAAAAAATTAAAGCTATCGGTGCTTTTTGTCATGTTGTGATGCTGTTGTTTCCTCAATCTACAATGCCCAGCTGAAGAAAACAAACATGAATGTAGTCTTTCAACCTTAGCTTTCACACAAAGAATATATGGAAAGTATATTCAATAAATGTATTGAAAGTGATCAGATGAGATAAACAAAAAAAGGCAATAAATACTGTTTGTTATCCTTCTTTCTACTAAATTTACATGAAGTGACAGGAAATACCTTAGGAGATATTTTATCTCCTAAAATGCAGAAGTACTTCACAATCTCCTACTAAAGTGTCAATTAGAAGTACGTACATAAGTTCAAATTTCAAGTACACCTTGTGTTGATTACCTTTTGCATTTCCTGAGACAGGAAATTTTCAAGAAATCATTTGCATTGCAGAGCAAAATATTCTACCTTAACTACAGGAGTCAGAATGTGATACACAAAGGAAATATGGAATGATGAAATTATTCAACATTTTAAATTACTTTTGATTCACGTACAGAAATACACAATACTGACTATGTGTGTAAATTTGCTTTAATTGCTTTCTTGCCAATGTAGTTAGTTTGCTGAGAATAACAATACATATTTTTCAAACACCAAGAAAGTAATTTTACATTTCTGTGAAACTTAAGTAAAATGGCAACCCTTACCTTCTACAGTTCTTATACCTGAACAGCACAATATTTTATCAGAATGCAACAAATACTTATTTGACACCACTGTAGTACTTGGTTGTAAAACATCCTCCTGCAAGGTGAATTATTTGTGCACCCATCCCTCTTAAACTCCTGCATAAACTGTAAACTTCAGCTTTACCTTGTTAAAAGACAGTTTTACCTCAGGACTCAGAAGATACCTGCAACACTATAAACTAGTCAACTCAGTAGCCTAATAAGATACAATACAAACAGGCCTAAAAACTTCAGGAGTATTGTCTGTTTAAAAATGCTGTGATAAGCCTGTTGTTTTCAGTCTAATTAAATTCTACATATATACTGTAATAGAAAATTAAAAATTCATTTTCTAAACTCATAGTATTAAAAAAATATTGTCACACACTCCATTTGAATCACACTTTTTGGGCATATGTTTATTGTTCATGAAAGTATTCATACATAAGCAACTAGGTTTTTTGTAAACATCACAGGGAATTAAAAACATTGCTTGCTTAAAAGTAGCAGAATCCAGCCTGTAATTTTAATACAATGATATACTACTTTAAAAATAATTACTTCAAGTTATATGCACATATATAATATATATAAATAGACAAACACACACTTGGCTTTATATATGCATGTAAGCAAACGCATCTCTGCCACAGCCAGGTAGGTTATTAAAAGAAATGAATTTTTTTTTATTCATGTTCCATACATAGCAAAGATACACTACCCATTCACAACAAAATCATACCTATACAATATCAAATTCGTATCAGGCTTTTCTGCAGTGCCAATAAGTTTGTATATTCTCTTTACTGACTATTACAACTATGAAGTTTTAGAAATACAGCCACTTTTGAAGTTTATGCAACATTTAACATGCTGGTCAAAAGTAAAAGATAAAGGAATGAAATACTGACACTATCTTAAGCAAGTATAAAGATGAGGGAGGACTAATACTTGTAAAACTCCCTAAGACTGGGAGAGAGATTTTCAGCTTACATTAAGTGGTAAATAATTTGTCTGTAAATACTTTATTTCCTCTTTTTAGGTTCACAAGATTCACAAAAAAAGTGCCCTAAATTACAGTATGTCCTTGTCCATATGCCCAGAGATACATTCTCCTACTAGCAACACAGTGCTGAAAACACTCTTGTGAAATGTTTTCAAAAGAACCCAAGAGCCATAACTAAAACGTGTTAATTCAAACTCTGCAGTGTGTGTATACCTAACAAGTTTCATAATAAAAAGAAGTCCACTAAAGATCCATCTGCTTCAACAACATCTTAGCAGACAAATCGCTGGCACCTCAAAAGAAAGGCACTAGACAAACACGATGAACAGCAGTACAGAAACTACATTCACAATCATCTACAGCTTGCCACTGAAATAGTAACAGCATATGCATGTGTTCTTTCCCTCAAAATTCAGTACAAGTTTATAGATCTGAGAAACATGCACTACTATACAAGATTTAATATAAATTCTTATTTCAGAGATGATGTACTAAGCTTCAGTTCTGAAACAGCTCATAGAACTAAAACAATTTACTTGATCACAACTGACAGAGGCAGAAACAAAGCTATAGATTTTCTTTTAAAAAGAAGTTTTCTTTTACCACAAAGACTTGCTACTTGTTTCAGAAACCATTTCCCCTCTGGGGATACTCAGTCAGTAGTATGTGATCGACAACTTCAGGTATTTCTATATTTGCAGAGGCATAGCATGGCATGGATCTCTACTAGAACTTCCCATAGTGCTTCTTGCCTAATCTATTTAAATGTAGTGTATCATTCTAAGTACTATAACATACTATAACAAGATGAGTCAAATGTAATTAATCAGTATAAAAATATTAAAAGTAATCATTATAATACTTTTTTCAATTACTCAAGAAATAGGGGCTTAAAGCTGAAGTGAAATTCCTTAACTTCCATTTCAGATCTGAAACTCATAATAAATATTCTTCCCTCCACCCTAATTTTGGTTGCATATTGGAGTCTTTTTTTTTTTTTTTTTTACTGTAACTGTAAAGTTTGGAGCAATCACTTTCTAAATACATTTACCTTTCCCCTCCCTCACCCCAATATCTATGCACTTGTAACAATCTTATTCCTTTACATTTGTACAAATCCTCTCCCACAGATCTATTTTTTTACTCAAATTTCCAAAAACTATCATGACTGCAGCAGCAGGTCATCTGCAAAGCTCTCCATCCTCTATAACAAGAAGTAGCACTAATACTTGCTCCAAGTACAGAGAAACTACTGGGCAGGCAGGTGGGGTGGTTCTAGCAGCTGCTATTCCATCAGCTCTTCTAAGGATCATCAAATTAAATTCTGAACTCTGAAATATTTTATCAGGTTGCATATTTATATTTTAAAACACATCAAGCATGTAATACAGTAAGTGCTCACGGGTGATGAATTTCGAGGCATTTAATCTTCATTCTTTACTACAGAAGTTCTGTAAATTCTTCTAAAGATCCCATTAGACACCAGTGTGTCATGGCCCATACCACTTCATGGCAAGGGCTAAATGATACCTTTACAGCAATTACAGAAGTCTTTCAGAGTAATGAAGATACATTACACTGTTACCATAAATTATATTGTAAACAAGATAGATCACCTCAGTGGTACAACACAACAAACTTTAAATGTTTCTATAAACACCAACAGAAGGAGCAACTTTTATAGTCATGGAGAAAATAAATTTCTGCTGGGAGAAAGTAAGGAGCTGAAAGCTGAGTGCAAGGTCGTCAAGACTAGTAAAGTACTCAGACAACGACAGTGAGAAAAGACCAGTGGATGACAAGACAGGTGGAAAACAAAGAGACTTCTTTCAAAAGGTTTGATTTTAGAAGATTTTTTTACTAATACATGCAATATTGATATTCAAACATGTAATAATTACCTCATTTCAGATAAATATATGGGCTCTTTGGGCTGTAAACACATAAGCATATAACAAATTATAAAAACAGATTATTTATAGTTATTTAGGGGATTTATGGTAAAAACATATAAATCAGTTTTCTTAATAAGTGAAGTGAGTGGTTAACTTGGAAGTGGTAAAAGTCTCTAGCAAGTGCTTCATGTGTCTCGGACACTATTTTGTGACTGTGGTCATACCTATATCTACTTCAGTTTATTCACCTGAGCATAAATAAAACAAAATAAGCATTAGTAAACATTTCTTTCAGGAGCACTTTGAAGTTTGCAGTAGGAAAATGCAAAAAATTAAGAAGAGATATTAATAAGACTCCGGTAATTCTAGAGGTGCACCTCAACACACCAGGTTATATATGTCACCCAATTTCTGAATTTTTTTCAAGCAGCTGAGGCCATTATATGACATCTCATCTCTTTAACAACTGCAGAGAAATGACAAGAGAATTAAACTGTAAATAAGTGAAAGATACATAAACAAACCTTTTTCATACCAGAAGGACTCTAGAAAATATTGGTAGTAACTGGCTTAGGCAAAGGTTTCTAGAAAAAAACAGACTATTTTGGCTTGTTTTCTTTTTTAACTAGAAGTCCTCACATTCGCCTTACAACTTCATGGACAGGTTACTGTAAGAACTGAGTAAAAAGTATAATTTCCATGGGTCCTGCTGAAATCAATGGAATTCTAGTGGTCACAACAGTTCCAGCATATGAACTAAAACACAGGATCAGCACCTTGTATATAAATTTAAAAAAGCAAAAATAAAATAAATAAAAAAAAAAATAATAATAAAAAAAAAAACACAAAACAAAACAAAAAACAAAAACCAACTAACTAAAAAAAAAGCCATTTTGGTACAGATTAAACACTTGTTGCAAATAAACAAAACACTGCAATTTCTACTATTCCAAAGTTCAGTACTTCCCTATGAAGTTCTATGAAAATGCCAAAAAAAAGGACTGCTGAGGAGACAACATCCATATGACTTGATCCTTTCAATCTTCATTAAGAAAAACAGTTAATAATCACAACATTGGAAAGGTGAGATTCTTAGGTCTGAAAGTACACATTTCCAGCCACACCACAGTACTAAAGGCAGTATTGGTAGGGAGCTTATCCGAACATTAACAAGATTTTAGTATCTACTCTTCTGAATCCTGGAACAACTAGATGAACTATATGAAAAATAGAAATCTCAGATTTCAAATTAAACTAATGGGTAGTTGCTGTTATTGCTACCAATCCAGAATGCTTCTAAATCTGAAACAAAAAAGCATTCCCTAAAATTATTTTTATTGTAGGACTAGTAAGACATTAGCTATAGAATCTCTTAAACATTTTAAAAAACACACTGGATCTATGTCTGCAGTTAATTTGCAGACAAAATACAACAGTGGAAGTTTTAGTATATTTTTTACGTGTTTAGGGGTTTTTTTCTCCCTCAAAAAAATCTTTTCCACTCTCAGTTTCAAATATATATATATATTTTTTTTTAAATTCAAAGTAACATAGAAAAAACTACGTTATTGGTCAGTATCCAGTAATCTGGCAAAGTCTGCACCAGGTACCAAACAGAACAAATGGAAGTAAACAAGAAATCTTTCAGCAGTTCTTTGTAACTCAATCTTTCAAATACTTTGTTTTTTGTTTGTTTGTTTTAAGAAAAACCACTAGCATTGCATCACACAAACCTCATCAATGTTGTTACCACAAGCTAGTCATATGTCAATAACTCCCTGTATGCAAAGCATTAAAAACAGTAGATGTAGATTATTCCACACACTACAGACATGCATCCTGCAAGAAACTATCAGGATGAAAATTTAGATTACAGCATCACTTTGATTAGAAACGCAACTACAAGAATAAAGGAAGTAAGTATAACTATGTCAAATTTTTGCTCTAATTTGGTCATGTAGAGTTATCCCATGCAGATGTTCTGGAAGCTCAGCATGCAAGTTATGAAGATTAATAAAAAAATTAAAAAAAAAAAAAAAAAGGACAAACAAAACCCCAGCATTTTCCCTGAATATTCTTGAACTACAATATCCAGTGAGACAGAAATGCCAATATTCTCAGCATCTTTTTACTCTTCAAAATTCAAATTCAGTAGTAGTGCATATACATTCAAGAGATCTAATAATTTGAACACATCTACAATAAAGACATTTAATAACAAATACTTCAGCTCTCAGTTTCTTTCTCAATGTAGGCAATGCATTAGGAAACGACTGCAGCAGCAACAGCTCACATAAGCCACTGCTCTTGTTCTTTTCTGTACTTCTCAGACCACTTCTGAGTAAGCTCTAGGTAAACATTTGGTTTATGGGGCTTATAATCAAGGTAAACCACTTGTCCAGTCCGTTTGGGGACAGCTTTTTCAATCTGAGTTCCCTCATGCCATTCATTGAAAGATGTAATAGAAATAATTTCTGGTCGCACCAAAAGGGCTGCACTGAAAGCAGTCTCATAGTACTTCCCATTGACACGATTACGGGTGTTGTGGTTGTTCCACGGTCGGATACTGGTATCAATATACCCCGGCCCCACACTTGGAATAAACATTAAGTTGTTACTATCACAAAAGGCTTTTAAACTTGCCCAGTTATGATGAGATGAGCCATAGGAGAAGCCATTGGTGGCAAAGTACGTGTACATTCCATCAAAGCCACTTCTGTGAATGTCATGCTTGTGTCTTTCTTCTACAAGAAGTGCAATGAATAGCGCATCATATGGAGTATTTCGAATACTCTGGGATCCAGAAACAGTTAACAGATTTGCCCATATTTCAGGAATTGTTACGTAAGAATCGTAAACATAAAACATGGGAAGAAATCTGCCTGTGCTGGTCTTATGCCTATAAAAGGCTGGATGGCCTCCATATCTATAAAGCAAACAAGTATTGTTAAGACAAAATTTGCCATTTGGAAAACACTGTTTCACAACCTGAGCTGAAGACTCTTCCTAAAAACTAATTTAAAAAGACAGTGCACGCGTTTCAAAACATAACCATTCATAACCATTTTTAGTCCAGTGTTTGCTGAAGTATTAAATAATGAATCTGCAAAGAACTTTTAAATTACTACAAAATAGTAACTTACTGCCAAAATGTGCTATAAGTATTAGTTCTCTCTGAAGGGCAATTCTCTAATTCAGTGTGAAATAAGACAGTCTAAGGAGCACTGATAAACAAAACAACTAGTACCTGTACAGAATTTGTCAAGCTGAATTAAAATCATTATAGGTCAACACATAAAAGCTCTAGCTGCTAGTTTGTCACTATAAAAATGTATATTTAATTTATATATCACATAGTTAATACTTTAACTGATGTAATCTGAAATATTATGACCTGTGATAATAATGAACATTGAAAGCAATTTACATTTGAGTATCTGTGTAAAATTCACACTTCAATATTTAAAAAACGGCCTGAGTTTTGTACCACTGAAATATGAACAAAGTTTCTTATAGTTTTCTTGAGTCCCGGTGCACAGTTTTATATATTATCCCAAGCTTTGGATAGTATACAGAAGTCCCCTAAACCAGCACGTAACAGACCCCAAAGGAAACCATTCTGAAAGCACTCACTTGTCAATGATGTATTTGACATTGTGGTACATACTGCGGTCATCTCTATCTTTGTAAGGTTCAATATGAAAAGTGACCTGAAAGATGGAAACATAGTAAGAGCAACACAAAAGTAAAATACTACTGAACACATGGGCACCACGTATTACATGAAGCAAGTACCAGTCGCATTAAATATAGTTCTTTACAGAGCATTTTCATTAGTCTAGTTTGAGAATAATCCAACCCTAATTCAACTCCTGCACTGCTGAGAAGCTTCAGATCCAAGGAAGTTTCATAATAGAGTAAAACAAAACACTTTGTTTTCCCTACGCTACAGCGAGTAGCAAGCATGCTTCAAAAAACTTAAACTACAGCAGAAATTAAAAACTGAAATAAAATATCTATTCCAATGTCAAAGAACTGATTAATCAATGAAACATTTTAAAATTTACTTTCTAAACTATGTATTAAATTTGCTATAGATAATTTTCCAAGGAGAGTTGTCAGTCTCAAAACGTATTTTAAGATAAAATTTTATACATTTATCAACAGCAATAAACTTTTGAAACTAAATCTAATATAATGTACTGCTACTGCTCTGAATTTCAAGCTTGGAGCCAATAGAATTATTTAACCTGTACATGTGAAGTAATTTCAATGTTAAAATGCCACTGTTTTCAAGTGCACAATTAAATGGAAGAGTATATTACATTAATTGAAACAAATGCAGAATTGCTTCTGAAAAACTAGTTAGTAAAGTCTTCAATAACTCTGCAACAGTAGCAAATTTCCACTGTAGAGCCAATAGCAATGTCGATTACATACAAACTATAGAAAAATACCGTGTTATACTAAACCACTAGGAATGACAGGACAGGTTAAAAAGCACTATAATTTCATACTTCATTTTCAACTATCAAAACCAGGCAAATCAAAAAAGACATATCTTTTAGCAGACAATAAAAACATAATTTGTATGTTGGTTTTGGTCTACTGACATTCCTAATACTTAACTGTAATAACTTACTAGTTCAAGAATGTTTAAAAACATTACAGTGAAGGTAGCATTATTCCCTGGTAGTATCTATACTTAGTATCTGTGCTCCAGTAACTACTCCAAGCAGTTCCACCCATATTCTGTTCTTTACCATACTATTGCATGCATTTTCCTGGGTGCCTTATTTCATTTTGCCTTGGAACCTTTGAGAGACTTGAGTGTTAGCAAGTTCTTTCAGGTGAGAGCAAGTTCCATCTGTTGATCTGAAAATTTTTGGGAAGTATAATACTTTTTTTTTCTTTTTAATAATTTACTATTGCATATGTACAATTTATGTCACATAATGCATTTCACACAGTATTTTTAAGAATTTCAAAATGTATCTGATTTAGCCTTCCTACTTTCCTCCTGCCTGTCAAAGAATATACAGTTGCTACTAGTGACAGGACATTTCTCTGAGAATCTGCAACTTGCATGACCAACTAAAACCAGAGCAGATGCACAAGCTGTAGTTTTAGTCCCCAGTATAGACAACATCATCCAGAGATCAAACATATACAGATACTCAGATAATTTAAAAACTCAAATTCATTACTCAGCATGACTAAAAGGCAACGCATGTTTTCTTTATCCCAAGGGAAAACACAAGTTTTGCTCTAAAAATAAAAATTAAACCACTATTTTAGATTCTACTGATCAATCCACATAATCTTTAATTGATTTGATATTTCACCTATTTCAGAAAGCCGTTACTTCCGTCTTTCTATCCTGTCATGCCCTGGAGTAACCTGAAGTCAAGGTAGCACCTCTCTCACCTTACTATCCAAGACAAGCATTCCTGATACCTTCTGGAATAAAGACATTCATTCAAACTAGAACATCTAATTTCCTTTTACTACTCATAGATGCTTGCTCCTGAACTCTGTGATCAGGCACCAGCAAGTTATGCAGTAATGAAAAAAATTAGGTTAGTCTTTCTTCTTTCTCGAAGTTCCTTAGTTTATAGATCATTGTATTCCATAACAGTTTGAAATATATACTTCCCCTAGCTCCCACAACTCATTTGAAACCAATGTATCATCTAATTTTAAAAACGGTCTCCTAAAAAGAAAAAAATCCATACCAACATACTGTAGATTCTGTAAACTTTAGATCTGAGCCAAAACGGAAGAAAGGTAGAATATGATATTTATTCTAGTTATATGACAACTTTGCTTAGATCTTATAAAAATTCAGTGTAATTCAAAGGACACTTATACCTGCTTCTGTGACCCAAAAGAAGTGCAGTGCAATGGAAGACAAAACCCGAAGCCCTGTAAGTAGGGTGTTGCACCTGGGAAAACATAATCCAGGAGTGCAGCACAGGCTGGGATCTACCTGGCTGGAGAACAGGTCTGTGGAAAAGGCCTGGGGGACAAGCTCAGTATGAGTGAACAGTGTGCTGCAGTGTCAAAGAAAGCCACCAGGATGTTGGGTTGCATCAACAAGGGCATCATCATCAGAGATAAAGAAGTCCTCCTCCCACTCTATTCAGCGCTTGTCAGGCCAAACCTGGAATACTGTGTTGAGTTTTGGTCCCTGCTAAACAAAAAAGGTGTGGACAGGCTGGGGAGGGCCCAGAGAAGAGCCACAAAGATGATGAAGGAACTGGGAAGCCTGTCATGTGAGGAAAGGCTGAGAGAACTGGGTTTGTTCAGCCTTGAGAAGGCTTAGGGGAGACCTTATCACCATGTTCCAGTATTTAAAGGGTGGCTACAAGGAAGCTGGAGACTCCCTTTTTACAGGGAGGCCCATGGAAAAGACAAGGGGCAATGGGCACAAGTTACTCCTGGGGAGATTCTGATTGGACACAAGAAGAAAATTTTTCTTAAGAACAATCAGCCACTGGGAATAATCTCCCCAGGGAAGTGATTCCTCAACATTGGACACTTTTAAGATTCAGCTGGACAGGGTGCTGGGCCATCTTTTCTAGACCGGGCTTTTGCCAAGGTTGGACCAGATGATCCTTGTAGTCCCTTCCAACCCGGTATTCTATCATTCTATGTTTAATGACAAGCCTTCCTGTTCTACACCGTGAGTCAAATATAGTAAATTCTTAGCAAGTTTACTCTCCTAAGTAGTCCTACTTCATGCATCTTAAAAATACTTTACCTTTAGACTATATTTGTGTGCATAATCCAAAATAACAGGCACCAAATCATCAGTTGGTTCTCCATTTTCATCAGCCATACCTGGTGGGTACCATGAAAGCACTATTACACCTGAAAATACAAAACTTAAGTTTTAAATCATGTTGTTTAACATATAACATGTGCATTATAACATTGTCATAATTATTTTTTGTTGTGAAACCCACATAATACAAATGAGAACTTCAAATTACTTTTTAAACAATTATGAAATCTCAGTATTCTGATAGTGGATTTTAACTTCTCTCTTTATTTAAAAGACAAAGCAAAAGGTGGTAAGATCATCTGTGAAGGGAACAGAACTGTGCTCAGTGTCCCAAGCCTAACACTGAGAGCCATTCCCACACACTTTACAGCACAGCATCCTAACCTCCAGGTTGTACCAAGAGCAGAAGAATGCTCCCAACTAAGGCATTATAGCTATGCCACAGTATAGCCAGAGAACAGCAAGATACATAGGGTTAGAGAACACTCAAGAGATGAGGGCTAGGCATGTGATGAAAGAGATTCTTATTGAACTCCCCCCCCGTTTCTGCATTGTCTCTGGCTCTACTACAAAACACCCATTTCATATTAGAAGCAGTGGCTGTAACCCCACAACCTTCCTTCTTGCTAAAAGCAGTTACTGTGGTGTAATCCACCCTTCCGACCATATGACATTGTTTTTTAAATTTATTACCTAAAAAATGCTTGCATAACTGTCAATAATTTAAGGATGTTACTATTCATGTTGAAATAAATGACAACAAATACAATGTCCCTATAGTGTACATTTTCCTGATACTCTCCGTGAAAGCAAAAGAACACATACCTCTTCAGAAAGGCTAAACCCTTTCCTTCTAAAATAAAATGCTGCCAGATAAATAAATAAACCTTTTACATGTGTAGCTGGAAATAATATCAGGAAAAAGGTAAGACAAAGAAATACATGAACTACTGATGTAGGAATATTTTCCTAACAATACTACTTCAAACATATGGAAGAGTAAGTCAAGGTGATTCTTTTTAACTAGGTGAAGATTTTAAGTACACAGATCAAGTCAGTATATACTCTGTATACTCTAGGGAAGTATATACTCTAAATTTTATCCATTTCACTAACATTATAACATTTCTGACTAACAATTTCCAAACAAACAAGTCCAAAATTATGAAAAAGAAAGCATAAATTAGAGTGAATACACAACCATTTTCCACCATCAAAACCACAAATTTGAGCTCACTATACGTAGGAGAAGTTAGTTCAACTACCATCAGCATATTCTCTCCACATTTTTGATAAAAGAGAATCCCAAATAATAGAGTATCTATCACAAGAGACAGTCTGTTTAAGGACAAGAAAAATGCAATACTTTACTGCATTTTATCACCCTATCTTTTATTTCACACAAAAGAAAAGGACAAAATTCAAATTAGTAATATGTAAAGGACAAACAGAACAGCAGCAAAAGACTCGGGTTACAGCCAAGGTATCTTGAATACAACATCTGTCAAAGATCCTCTTCTATAACTTTAGAAAACAGGGAAAAGTTCAGGAGACAGAATTGCTCATTAAGGAACCTAAATTCACATTTGCATTGGTTTTTCCCTGAGAAAGACTAGTTAACATTTTCTTTCCTGGGGGTTAAAAAATAAAGTTATGTACCCCTTCAGGAGTCTAAAAAAGGATGGACTCGATGCCAAAAACAATAGCACAAAAACGTTTAAAACCAGAGTAGAGTCATTCAAGACAAATGAAAGACTTCAAACTACCACAAAAATAGGTTGGTGCAATAAAATAAATTTCACCAAGCAATCCAAGGAATAAAATCTACTGTAGTAATCTGTTAAAAATTAGGAAATAAATAAAGAATTGTAAAATATAGGAATATCAATGAAGCACTGCATGAAACTCCTGCTGCTCCAATCTCTTATATGCCTTTGATCATTACACAATATTGGTTGAAAGAACCACTTATGTTTTCCTGCTTTTGTAAGATCCTTGATAAAGCCTCAAAAAATGCTAGAAAAATTATTATTTGGTGTTATGTAAAATGAAGTCATGGATTAGTTATTGGCTGAGAAACAAAAAGAAGAAACTGTAAAGTCAACCTCACGGTACACAAAAAATGAACAAAGTATAATTCTTATTAAGAAAAGATGCAATATTCGAAGTAATGACCTGAGGAAAAGAAGTTGATTTATGCTGGTCAAATCTAGACAGAAGAGAACAAATTCAAATGTACTTAAGTCCATAAATAAGAATAACAGCAGAAAAAAACCTGCTTTTGGTAAGTATCAGTAATATGTTACAAAGAGTATGTCACAGGAAGCATGAACTACTCATTCACATTGTTGAGTTTTAAATGGAAAACTGAAGGTACTAAAAAACCCACCTTATTTTGCACAGCATCCTTCCTAGTATTTGTCACCTTTTCCACCAGCAGTTCATCTTTATTAGACATTTGTATTAAGAGGATGAGAAACATCACAGATTACTCTAAAGCTACAAGTGCCCTCTCTGCTTTCATCACACTGCCATGAATTATTTTGCATTAGATAACACTAAAAGTGCTTATTGGCAACTAATACCTGAGAATTCTCTGCAGCTGCTCAGAGTTTAGTATTAGCTTACACAAATGCTTATTTTAAAGAAAATGAACATAAAAAGGACCATAAAGTCCACCAATGAAGAATGACACCAAAAATATAATGAATACTCATGTGTATATAGTCTATCTTATTTAGAGAAAGGGAACATCAGTTTGTATTAGAAAAGAAGATACTTTTGGACAAAGAAATAAACTATAATTAGCTACACTGAAACTACCGCACCTGAGTTCAAGAGGTTTGGATTAGACATTTGTGTATCTAATGAGAACGCCTCTAAATACACTCCATAAAATATAAATTGTATAAAAGCTATAATCCTACATGCTCTTTGACATATGAATACATAATTGTTACTACACACAAAGAATTCAGAAAGAAAACCCCACTCCTATTGGAACAGACATAACCATGTTAACATGATTTACTGAAACCTGTTCTTAAAATTGAAGTATTCATCTCTAAAAATAAAATGCACAGACAATATATTCTAGCAGTGGTTTCTGTATTTCCTACATATGTTATCAGTGCTTAATAAGTCATGAAACGTGTACCTCCAGGGTTACAAATACAGCTCTTACGTTTCTGTGCTGTTACGCTCATCAGACACAGCTTTGAAGATTTAGGTTTCAGTTGAGGGTTAAAACTCAGAAATACAAAAACATTTAGTAGTTTCAGACACTTCCAGGATTACATTTTAAAAGGGCAGAATGGGTCAGTTCTGTTCATTCACATATTTAAGGCTGGATAAATGAAAAACATGCTGAAACATTAACATTCATTACCAGTTGAAGCTGAACGCATTTGTTTCATGTGGGCTTCTATGACAGAAGGGTCTTTGGAACTGTAAGATCCAAGCTCGGGATAAAAATTGGCCCCAATGTCCTCAGGAGGATTATGCCTTCCCTTTGGATAATTGTTTGCAATTTTGGGATCCCAATGTGGCAACAACGGATGGTTCCAGTGAATATATTTACCATCAAACTGTGGATTCCCAAACCAACTATAGTAGAATATGTGAAAGTTATAATTAGGAGAAGACAGCTCTTCTTCCAGCTTGTTTACAGGAGGCATAGATGCTTTCATAGTATTGACTGTGATACTATGCAAATTACTGACACGTGTTACAGTATCTCCTTGAACTCTGTTTAGTGAATTTTGTTTATTGTCCAAAAGCACTGTCCGTTGTTGAAGCTCAGGCAACAAACCAAGTCCAAATGGATCCCCAAAACCAGCTCTGTCAGGTCTCAGAGTCTTCAAAGCCATCATTATGGAGCAAACAAATAAAATAAAAAGCAGCAAAATGATGCATGTTCTTCTGCGAAATCTTGCCATGATGTCATAGTTCAGAATCCAAACAGAAGGATTTTGGCCGCAACTGATGAAAAGACAAATATTTTAAAGTCAGATTTCTTATTACCTAATCCAACAGTATGAAATGCTTCATAAAGTTCCTACATAATGGAAATAATATGGCGACAAATGTGATACATACACTGACTATATAACTAACAGCCCTTTGCCAAAGGAGGGGTGGGGGGAGCAGGGTGAGGACAAAAAAAAATTTCCACATTTGAGACTGTCTGTCAGGCTATAAGATTCTACCACCAAGGACTAACCTATTTTCTAAAACATCTTACTTCTGAACTTCATTGTTTTCTTAATCCAAATAAATCCCATGAAATTGAAATTCTGGTTACATTATTTCAGAACTATCATGTTTTGACAAGTGTGATGGAAATAGCATAGAAAACTGAAGAAGAAGAATAAAAGCAGAAGCCATGAAGGGAGAATAACGTAGCAAAACAAGAGTAAAGGACAAAATGGGATATGACAGAAGTACACCTTATGTTCAGAATACAGGTTTCATTTGCTAACCTATTTATTGGCTTCAGACCAACCACTTCATGTACAGTTAACCAACACAGTGACTAAACACTTTGGCAAATTAAACTCTAAACAATGATGCTCTGCAATTTTACAGGTCTAAAATTCTAATTTGTTTTCTGAATTATGTAAATGAAAAATAGTACAGCATTAAGGACATACCTCAACCAGAAAGCCTGTAAATTAGCTGCTGGCAGCCTGTTAGTACAATGTCACAGCTGCGTGACACTTCATGTAGAATTCCAGGATTAAGTTCAAAACAAGACCAATAGTACACAGCAAGATTTGAGGCCTGAAAGTATGGGGAAGAAAATCAGTGTAACGGAATGTCCAATTAATTTATTTATAACTTTAATTCCTGTTCAACAGTAAACACAAGTAAGCCAGAGAAAAGGATTAACAAAATTTAGGTTACCACAGAATTATGTGGAAAAAGATTATGCATAAAACTGACAATACTAAACTGGAAAAATCTTAGAAAAAAATTCTGATTCAATAGCCACTAGATATAGCATAGCTGTGATTTTGTACTTCCCTCACTGACCTCCAAATTTTAGAATCTTACTTTAATTTACTGAGATAGATACAGGTCGTTTTAAAATACTTACAAAGTGTCTCACCTTTGTTTCCTACCAATGTTCTTTGCTACTGCGAGAGTGTATTAACATATAGCTCAGTTGTCACAACACTCTCCTTGTTACTGCTGTGATAATTTTAGATATGGAATTTTAGAATATGCTTTTTAACAATACAGCTTGAATTGGATTAGCAGTATAACACTGTCAAAAAGGGAAGTTCTGCTTCCATCTCCAACCTTAATCTGTTCAACCTGCTGTCTACTTTTAGTTACCTCTGGGATTCACCTGGTTTTCGCAGTAAGGTCGCTCATAACTTCAACAGCAAAACCCAGCTAACATCTCAAAAATAAACAACCCCTATGCACTTTTACCCTGTTAGACAGCCGACTCAGCTGAATGAGTCTGACAGCACTAATGCCAACAAAAGTTAATAGCACAGATGGGGGAAGAGAAGAGAATGAAAATGATACTATTCATCTTGCCCAACTGGACTGTGAAACCGCACCTTTAGTTACTGTCAGGGAAAATTATTTTACGGCATATATATACACGCTTATAGTACTTCATTTAAGACTTTTCATTAACAGATTTCTCATCATTTTACATCAAATTACAGGGTTCTTTTTCTATCGCTCACAATCCATCCCAAGATTCTTTGAACTTTGTCAAAGATTATTTGGAGTCCAGAACATTTTTAATAAGAAATTAACTTTAAATACACTCAAACAACTTCTACTATTTTTCCTTACCTTTTCAGTCTTCTTTCTAGTCTATCACGCTACCCCTCCCTGGGGGTTTAACTCAATTTTCAGATTAGAAAAACTGAAATTTTCTAAAGGGATGGGATTTTTTTGTTGTTGTTAAATAAAACAATATTATTCACCCAACTAATGCACTAATATATTAAATTTTCTTTAGTTTAACCCAGATGCTACTGATCTTCATCAAACAACAGAGGACTGCCAGTGATAAATTACTGCTACAATTATTATTTTATCTCTTCTGTGAAAAAGAATTCATGATTGTAATGTTTATAATGAGAATGTTCATAAGGTCTTTCATTTGGGCTTTCCTATTCTGTATCGAATAAACTGTTCCTTTTTATTCTTTGATTGGCATATCTGCTACTAAATTCCTCCTCTATAGCATCAAGGTTTCACTACCATAAAGTACTACTTCTGAAGTGTCAGGGATTGATCTTAGTGCTCCATGTTCTTATTTCAGCAAGTATTTTTTCAATGGAATATTATTAAGAAAGCATAGTAAAAATGAGCAGCATACTTACTAAAATTTGCCTAGCATCAGGAAAGACCCTGGTCTACCACAGCACATTATGAATCTCTAGTATGCTAATATAGAGGCTCAGCATCAAAGTGTAAAATTTCTAGAACAAGTGATAGCTATGGTAAATGCTTGTGTTTTGGGGAGACATCAGTTTCAATGAGAATGCATAATTCAGCCCTGGCATAGATACCTTTACTGCAAAAGCTGTATTGAAGAGCTACAGGTTGGCAGTGCTTGCATATGTCATTTAATCTTGTTCAGAGATACTCTTTAGAGACAGTGACGGATAAATTATGCTCATCAACGCTAGTGCCACAGAAGAATGGTAATATTGGGGAAACAGACTGAGCAAACATGCCATGTGAAACAGCTACCTGAAGTTATGTCTATCCTTGGAACTGGAAAAATCTTAGAATACATTTCTGATTCAGCAGCCATTAAAGATAGAATAGCTGTGATTTTGTATTTGTCATGGTCATCTAAATTTTACAGCCTGACTTCAATTTACTGGAGTACACAGGTCATTCCTACATACTTCTGAAGTATCTTGCCTTGGACTTGGGTACATTTGGATCTAACAGCAAGTCCCTTTATCAGTAGGAGAAAGTCAGCCTGAATAACTTCAGCTTTATGCAGATTAAGATCTCACACGCAGACAGTTACTCTAAATCATATGATGACTTGTTTAGTAGCAGCTTTTGGATTGTAACCCCAGGCTTGTAGACCCGCTTTGGTGTACCAGCCAAATATGTAAGTAGTTCCAAGCTAGTTCTCTTGCCCAGTGAATTCATTGTAAAAGAACAAAAAAAGATTCCATCTATAACAGGTCAGAAGGAAGAACAAGTTAGTTTGTATCACCAGTCTCTGCGTATGGGCAAAGAACAGGTCCAACATAGAGCAATGCTTTACCAGAAATAGTTCGGCATCTTCAGCTATTTATGGATCAGAGACTTCCCTGAAACAAAAAAGGTCATTTCTTAGTACAATATGGAAAAAAAAACCAAAACACCTTCTGTTTAGAAACTCACCTGCTAGTTTAATTTGATGCCCCTAGTTCTCAAAATAGAAAAGAGAGTAATCAAGCATTTGTTTACATTTATTATTTACATTTTCTACTTCACTAATAATTTAATTGCTTCTATCAGGTGCTCTCAGTTTTCCTTTAGAGAAATTTCTCATCTGTATACTGTATCACTATCACTGGATACATTTAAACATTTTTGAGGTGTTTCTTTTCTGTACTGTTTCAGCTATACTACATCCTTCCTTTTGGAGATTAAGGGAACGCACCTGAATACGGGGTGACTTTCAACATGCATCCTGGACATAAAATAGCTTGTTTGGGTTTTGTGTTTTTTTTTGTTTTGTTTTGCCTTTTTTTTTTTTTTAGATTTTGCTCCCTATCCCTTTTCCAAAAATTTCTCCTTTCTATCAATTCAGTCCACAGGTAATACATGCAACTTGGCTACAGAATTATTATCATCCCTAAATCCAGTTCCTGAGTGGTAAAAAAGAACTCAGAAATTGTTTACTTGGTGCATTACACTGCACATTTTTTAAATAATTTTTTTTTTTTTTTTTAGTCACTCCATGCTGGAAAGTCCTTTGGCAAATTTTCCACTGAAAGAAGTCATGATCTTCAGTTAACTCTGTCAATGTACTCTTCACTACCATACGTATTTTTCCAAATCATTGTTACCTTCAGGCCAGACCAAAAGCTCAGAAGTCAACTGATGTCTTTTGGTTTCTCCTTTTATAATTATAGATACTACAGTTTCCTTCATTACGTATCAGAAAAATATGAAACTTTACCATCAAAGGGTAGAACCTATATTTCTGTAACATCCAGTCCCCTTCTCCAAAAACATTTTACACAGTTATTTTATTTTGAGTTTGCAAGCTGTTATATGGACTTAAAAGCACAAAAATCAATGTAAGACTATTTATCCCTCTCTGGCCATTTCTGTTCCAGATTAATTTGTTTCTTATATGGGGATAAATAGCATGAAACTCATCATGGTAGTACAATCTCTCCAGCTGTTTTTCCTAAACAACTAATACCTCCATGAAAAAAAAGGATCCATAAAAAAAAGCTGAAGTGTTTTCTAAACTGTTCGCCAAAATTAATAGCAAGCCCGCCTCAAGGATAACCTCTCCCATGCAAGCTCATACTTGACAGTGATGTGTTTTGGTTTTTTTTTCCTCCCTCACTGCTGCTTTTTATACCCTTAAGTTACCCTGCAGGCAAACCTTCTGCTTGTCCTTTCCACTATATGAAGAAAGAAAGCATACAGATGGACAGATGACAACAAAACTTTTTCTCCCCTATTACGTTTCCCAAAATAAGGATGTTTCTTTAGTCAGATGAAAAAAATGGGTTTAATTACTCTAGATCGTTTTGGTCACACGATAACTCAAATTTCAATACCCCACCCTATGAGCTGTTTTTTCCAGTTTTACTGATTCCAAAAGAGAAATATGCAATGTTAAGAAAGTACGTTCAGATAAACCAGATGTTTTTAGTAAGAACCAGCAAATACTGTCATTTATTTGTTCTGATATTTATTAAACATAACAAATTAAAACGCAATACAGAAGAGAGCTCTGAAAATCTGATTCTCCTGATGCAAGGGTAAGGTCATCCAAAAGTCACTGAGGTTGGTAGCTCATGGCTGGTAACAAATCTCAGCTAAGTTTTCTAAGATTAGCTTCTCCCAGGATTTCCCAGTCTGGACAACATGAAAACTCTGAAGTGACAGATCAGCTCTAGACAGAGCTGAAGCTTCCAGGTCTTCAAATCCCTCCATTCTGGAGCTACAGTGCAGATGTGCACCTAGAAACATTACTTTGGTTCCCAAGTGACTGACCAGGTGAGATTCAGTAAATTTACCAGAGGGCTGATAAAAGTCTGACCAAACCACCACGTTTCCATGCCACATTCTGGTCTGGGGAACACAAGTAATTAAAAAAAAAAAAAAAAAGCAACAGCAACTGACCACATCTTCCTTGCCAGAGCCTTGGGAGCGTTTATAGCCTTAGAAAAACTGGGAAATTTGACAAAAATTGTCTGCATATGAAAAATATTTTTCTAAAGTCTTTTTAAAATAGTCCTTGAAAGTCATTAAAAATGGAAGAAGATATTATATATTGCATACAGACACTTTATAGCTGTGCTTACATACTAAATATATATATATTTTTAAGCACTTCCAATAACATAAAGTATACTTCTGGTCCACCAGAAAGAAAAAGGTGCATGAAATATGACAATTCCAGCATGCATAACTCTACTATTCACAAAACAGGGAACGTGATTATTTTTTTTTTTATTTTTTTTTTTGCTAACCAGTTTTGAATTGACGAAAGACAACAGCAACAAGAACAAAAACCCAACCCCGCTGCACTTTGCTCCAAACGTGGCCAGCCTCCAACACTGAACTGCAGGTACTACACGAAAGTATTCGATTTCAACACGCCAGCGTTCCCCTGCTCGGGGAAGGACTTCGAAACGCACACCGAAGTTGGAGCAGCCGCGGACCCCCAGCAGCGAGCAGCCCCCCCCCACGGGGCAGCCCCCCCCCACGGGGCAGCCCCCCCCCCACGGGGCAGCCCCCCCCCCACGGGGCAGCCCCCCCCCCACGGGGCAGCCCCCCCCCCCCCGGGGCAGCCGGCAGCTGCCTGAACCAGCGCTGGGCGTCAGACAGGGGGGAGCGGAGCCCCCTCGCTGCGCTCCTCCCGAGCCGGCCACCACAGCCCGGGCGTTCGCGCGCTTTCCCCTCACGCCGACGAGCCGAGGGCCGGAGCTTTCGGTCAAGCCCCAGCCCCCGCCACGGGCGAGGGGCCTTCGCGGGAGCGCACCCCCGGCGCCTCCAGCAACGGCTCCCGGCCGGGGGGGGGGGGCGCCTTCCCCTTCCCTCCCGGCCCCAGGGCTCCGCGGCGCCCAGCCCAACCCGCCTCCTCGCTACCGCTTTCCCCTTCCCCAGCCTCCGCGGCCAGCGGTGAGCCGCCGCCGCCGCCGCCGCCGTTACTCACCCGGCGCTGCCCACGGGCGGGCGCGGCGGCCGGAGGGGCCGGGGAAGGGAAAGGCGGGGCCCGCGCCGCTCCGCCGGGGCCTGGCGAGGGGCGGGTGCGCATGCGCCAGCGGGCGCGCACGCGCCGGGGAGGCCGCGCTGCCTGTGGGCAGCCGGGCCGGCGGCCGGGCGCGCGGCGCTGCGGCCGCGCTGTTCGCGCGCGGGGGTGAGGCCTCGGTGCCGGTTGCCGCGGGCTGGCGGGGGAGGCCGGGCGCTGTGTGGGGGTCCCTGGCTTGTCCCCTCTGTGAGGAAGGGAACTGAGCAGCTGCGTGCTACACCTCCTAGAGTTCTGAAATAGCTTTTTTTTTTTTTTTTTTTTTTTTTTTTAATCCACTCAAAAGGCCTAAAAATTCTTCAATACTTTAAAATTCCGTGCTGGGTTTTTTTTTTTTTTTGCTTTTTAGCGGGGGGGATGGCCGAGTAAAACCCACGGCTGGGGTCTGCGTAGCGGCTGCCGTCGGAGTAAAGCGTTCGAGATGGTGAGGCGCGGGGCAAGAGGGGGCGGTGGGGTAACCGCCCGGCTTTGCACCGCGTCAGCTGCACGGGAGTAAATCATGAATAACTGCAGTAACGTGAAAATGGTTGCGCTGATATTTCACACGCGAACGTTTCATGCGTGCTTTACTCTTTCCTTCTTGCAAAATAGTGAAAACGGGCTACAAATTGTTGCCGTAAATGAGAATAGTTACCAAATCAACTAAAAAAAATATGTACCCACTTTCAACAGAACTCTGTTAAGAAGGCCTTAAGAAGTTGATGAGCACATCAGATTGACTCAATACAAACTGTTGCACTAGGTAAACACAGCTTTACCATAGAATGAAAACATTTCTTCCCTTTGCCATATGAAAAGTGGATCCCCATGGTGTAGTTTGTCTGATTTTTTTTTTCTTTTTTTTTTTTTTAAGAATCTAAGCCCCGAGAGAAACAGTGCAGTGACCAGAACTGTAGTTTCATTGAAACCAATAGCAAAACTCTTACTGATTTCATCAGAGGCAGTATTTCACCTCCTATGTGGATGAAAAGACCTGTGTAATGAGTGTCTCATGCTGTAGATATAAACAAGATAAGTAAATTCAACATCTCCCATGGTTCTCATTGAGTTCTGAGAAAATTGACAGAATTGTTTCATGATGTTTCCTTCATGCTGTCCGAGTGCTCTCATGGGAAATACATTTGCAGTAATGGTTATTTCTAATGTTATTTATTGTGTGTATCTGAATAATTTCATTAAAAGGGTATATGTTGTGATTCAGGAATGTCATGCTTTAATAAAAAATGAGTTGGCATATGAATAGACAGGAGATGGAAATTTGAAAACTTGATAACCACATCATTTCCACAGTGCTACAAAATCTTCCTTTTACTGCATTTCATTTTTTTGTTGTCTTCTTTCTTTTTTTCTCTCTTTTTTTTCCTTCCTCTTTTTTTCTTTCTGTTCTTATTCTCTCCTTCTCTGTTTCAAAACAAAAGAGGGTACTCTTCTATTTTATGGAGGACATAAGTTTTATTTATACTTTCTGTTTACCATGTGGAAGAACTCCTACTGGAACTAAAGTTTGTTTGAAAATAAGATAATCAGAAAGCTTAGAAGTGGAAAAAGTAAGTCTGAAGCTTTGTTTGGTCATATTTCATTGAGTATGTTTTTACATGATAAAAATTTAGTAGTGTTAAGAAATACAAAAAATCATTTAATGAGAGGAAAAAACCCTAAAATGTATTGTTCTGACATAGTTCTTTTATGTTGCAACATTTTTGCTGAACAGACTGAATCTACTGGCTAAGATTTAAAAAGCCAACAAATCAAAACTGTTATATCACAATTTCCTCCAAGCCTTTTTGCATAGTAAGGAAACTAAGTAGTTATGTTCAGTTTAAGCTTAAGTGGAACAAGGGAGATTAATATGATTGTGGTAATATTATTAACTTTCTTTTGTAATGTCTTGTGTCATGTTTATTTTCATTCTTGATCTTGTGCTTGCTTATTTTCCTGTTAGATCAAGGTTTACCTTTCCCTAGCCTGCCTTCAGTGTATATTCTTATCTTTCCTGCAGCTTCCATCATTTTCTCCTCCATTATATCCTATAATAGCTACTCCCTTGTGCTTTATTTATGGATATAATAGCTGTAATAAACTGTTCTGGCTTTGGAACAAACACAAAAGAGGGAATAGCCCGTGCCTGTAGCTTTTCCTTCTATTCTCAATAGTCCTATCTGTGTCAAAGTCATGAATCTCTCTATCTTCCTTCTAGTAATTGTTCTTAATCCAGAGCTCCTCCTTTAAAGTTTTGTGAATCTTTGCCACTCTATCTGATACATAGCTGCGTCTTTGAATCCTGCTTCCCAGAGCCTCTTATTCCAGAATCCCACATTTTCCTGAGCAGAAGCTAAAGGCAACATTGCTTTTGTGCCACAAGAATTGACAAAGTGCTGGTCCATTTTTCACTCAAAGTTTTCATCAGCAGTAGAGATACTACAATATTTTGGTGGGAATTGGATAACTCTACACCTGCTTCTCACGAGTTTTTAAAGGTAATTTTAAAACTGTAAAGGCTGGTCACGCAGGTTGCTTAGAGCAATGAAAGGTTTGATTATGAAGACTTCAATAATACACAGCCAGGTTACCTGACTCCAGGCCATGGCAACTGTAGATTTTCAAGCTGTGAATATAAACAAGCCTTTTTAAAGGTCATACTCTTTTTCTGTCATTAAACTAATCCCTGGATTTATTGAATAGTTCACTAAACTGTTGTGTGTATTAGAGATTTGTTCCAGCCTTTCAGAAATGAAACTATTCTGTATGTATAGAATTTTTATCAGAGCCTGAAGTGATTTTGAAATTTAGAAAACCAGTGTTTCGCCTTATAAAACAGTGGGGTTTGTATATTTTTAAATTTGTGTTGTGAAATTAAAAGAAACAAAACAAGATAAGCTAGAAAAAAAAATTTGAAATTATTGGAAATATAGTGTACTCACCTCAGAAAGTTCCATTTACTTTATTTTTTTTTTGTATGTCTAGACAATGTATGCGAGTAGCAATTTCCCTTCAATTTCCCTTACTTACAGAGAGAAATAATCTAATGTAGCTAATAATTTTAAGAGGCCAAAATACTGTATACATTGTTAATACAGGAGTGCCTGCCAAGCTTATTGAACTGTGTGCTGTTATATATATGGGATTTGTATGAAGATTATTCATTGGGCAATGAATGCAGAAAATATATTGCACATCACTTATCATATACTTGGATGTGCTTTTTCTTTCGTTCATTTCTTAATAAAAGTTTTAAGACATTTTCTAGAAAAGCATAGCCAGTTAAAATGTAACGCTTCCTAATATTCTTATGTTTGAAGTAAAGTTCCATAATATCTTAGAGGGTGAGGAGAAACAATTTTTTCTCTCTGCCCATAAAGAAAATAGTACAGAAAGAATTTACATATTGTTTTCCAGATTTCCCCTGGAGTACTTATCAATCTACAGATATATTTGATTTGGAGTCTCATCTCCTTCAGAAATTAGAAGCCTCATTTGTGCTTCCTCTCAGATTAAATGAACTGTGATGAGACAATGATGTTTTCTTCTTCTGGCAGAAAATGTAATTCAGCGTAGGTAGTCTTGTGCACTGATTTTTTTTAACATTTTTTTTTTCTCCTTTTCAGCAATTGCAGCAGAAGAAATAATTCTTCAAAGGAAGTTGAATGTTTAGGTGACAGGGTTCTGTATGCCTTAAAAATGTCTGAGTTAGGTGGTATTGGCAAGAAAAGGAGCCAAAGCAAGGAAGAGTTTAAAAAGACCACAACACGCTTAGCCTGTGGGTACTGTTGAAAAACATACCCATTTGGATTCAGTGTTCCAATACCATTTAAGGATCCTTAGTTGGGTTAGTATTAACAGAGGAAATAAATTAGCTGAATAATACTGCATCACACTTCTAAGAGTAATCAAGCATTTCAGTTTTTATTCATATAAGAATGCATACAAACTTTCAGAAGAAATAAGTACTCTTCTTATTGACATACAAGACAATTTACATATAAAATGAAAACACACACGCATAGATTTCCCTTACTGTATGTTCAAACAGGCGGTAGTCTTACAGTTTTAAAAGTCCCCCTTTTAAAGTACCAATTAAGTTTCTCAAGATACAGCAGCCTAGTGATGTTGTTTTGTGATCAGAACATCTCTGCAGGATGAAAAAAAAGTTGTTCTAGTCTTGTAAGAGACTCAGCAAAGGTTGAGATTGCATAACCTACTGCAGAGTTAAATAAACTACCACCAGTGTTCAAAACTGAGGTTCAAAGGGACGAGGTGCTTAATTACTACCTATACACGGGTATTGTCATTAGTAGTACGACTTTTTTTGTGGAACATCAGTGATGAAGATGTACAAGCATCACACAATGTCCTCTGTTTGCAATTCCAACTTTTTATTGATTTTTATTTTAGGAATAAATGAAGCACTAATAAATTT